TGAATCCTCATCAGAACTACACCAAACACAACACAAACCAATAACCAAGCAAACTACTTGATAAACATTCAAAGAGTATTCATTTAACCTTCTGTTCATTTTACAAGTTGCTATCTTATATTTTTATATATAGTCTATACTATATCAATATCAAAAATATTCTAGTCTTAGCCAAACAAATTCTCTAAATTAGTAGAATATCAACAAGACTTACTTTCTAAGTATGTCTATTCAATACCAACCCAACAGTGCTCTCCTATGACCACTACTTAGCTCCCATAAGATCTACCTGATGTTTTGCCAGCTAATTACGCCTTGCAACTTTAATAGAGTCTACCTGATTCAACCAATTTAGTTTTACATATCTACGCTACAATTCAATATGACGTCATCCCCTCACACAACCACATTTATTTAACAAATCACATCGATACTCGTCTCAAGGAAGGTCGTTAATAGAGTAGGCATTGGCTAATGAACCCTATCCAACCCAACCAAACACTAACACCATCTAATCTATAAAAGCTTATCTAAAACTTTCGAGAGAATATAGTCGAATAAAAGATAGCACCATCCGCTTCTAAATCTACCCTTAGGAATGAAAGGTTGTATTCCTGGTCCTAGACATAGAAAGGAGACTCGTTTGGTACTTTGGCTCAATAAAGATAATTTCCAAGTCTCACCTGCTGAGGGCTTTTGTATTTCAAACTGGGCGAGTTTCATACTCGGCGTGCCACAATAAGTAAATAGATATAATAAACAAATAGATATAATAAGTATGTAGATAGTAAAAACCATGTATTAACTTAGTTATGTATTAGTTGTGAGAATTCGCAGTATCTTCCGCGGTTGGAGTGAACTTAGGAACAAAGACTTTAGCATTCTTCTCGGAATATTGACCCACTGGCATAGGGAACATAGGAGTAGCAACTGCTGGCATATCTGCAACTGGAATCATAGGCTTACCATACCGGGCTTCAAGAGTCTTAACTGTCGTACGAGGAACTTGCCCGGGAACAGGCTGTGGTATTTTAGGTAGATTAGGTAGAGGCTTAGTGAGTTTTGGTAGAGGCATTGGTTTAGGCTGGCCATTAGATAGCTTATCTTCTGCTCGGCACTGAGTTACTTCCATTTTGATAGGCTTCATTGTCTTAGAATCAACTGTAATCCACTTTTTGGCTACCTTATCGTAAATAAAGCTAGTTGTTTGTGATAACTCAACGACTGGCACATCATCTTTACGAGCTAACTTCTTAAACATATTAGACAGTCTCGAAACACCAGGAAGAGCGCCAAGCCAAGAACCGGCCGGTTGAGAATCTTCAAGAATTTGATATCTCGTCTTATCAGAGAAAAGAGCTCGGTAATCAGTATTATCATCATCCGGGATAGCATGTTCGCTTGGTTTAGGTGGAGTTATCTTAGGTAGAGCTTGAGTAATACTCTCTGCAGTAGGTTGGGGTGGTTGAGGAGATTGTGATAGGGTAGGGGTAGAAGTAGAGGTAGGAGTGGGGGTAATAGTAAGAGTACTCTCAGTAGTAGGTTGAGGAGGTAGTGGTGCTGATTGAGTGGGTTTAGGGGGATGGGCAGGAGGTGCTAATTTAGAGAGATCTCTTGGTGGTGTTGTCTTGATGATACGTCGTGGCGGTAGTCGTGATGGCATAGGTAAAGGAACTGCCGTAGTTGAAGGAGGGGTAGATGGAGGTGAAGAANAGGTTGAGTAGGTTGAGTAGGTTGAGTAGGTTGGGCTGGTGGAGGTGAAGAAGATAAAGTAGGTTGGGGAGTGGGTAGAGGAATAGTAGATTGAGCTGGTTGTGCTAGTTGAGGTGAAGCAGGTTCAGTTGAACCACCTACCATCTTAGTTATACCCAGATCAACTGCTTGAATTAGTCCAGAAAGTCCCCAACTAGACGGCTTGATAAGTAATTGTGTCTCTAACTGACTTTTCTCTTGGCGATCAAAGTTATCTTTCAAGTCATTATAAAGAGATTGTGCTCTTTTCAAATCAACATCACTAATTTCAACTAAAGTCCTTCCTATCTGATCTTTAAGATCAATTTGGTCATTAAAGTACTTCTTATAAAGCAAAAGCAGATTAGTAAGTCTGTGCCCATAATAAGAACTAGTAATAGAACCTATGTCTAACTCCATAGCCGAACGACCAATAAAAAGAACAGTAGTTGCTTCTTCAACCATATTCTGATCAAAGAAAAAGTGACACAATCTGATAATACTCTTAGCACAACGACCAAGTACAGCTCCTTTAAGAATAAAAGCCCAATCTAAAACAACATCACAAATCTCTTCTTCAGATAAGGAATCAAAAATCTTACTAACCACCATATCATAACCAAATTGTAACAACAAGTAAAGATAGTGAGAAAAAGAACTAGTTGATGCCTTAGCATACAATTTAAAGACTTCTTCCTTCACTCCACATGTTTCAGCTACAAATAAGGCCTCAGCCCAGTTGTTACTAAATAGGGCTTTGTTAACCATAGTTGATCTTGTGCTTTCTTTTAGCTGGCCTGGTGCTTTCCGAGCTAATAGTTGAGTAGAGAGAATTTCAGGATTCTTACTAGAGATATATCCTAGATAAGCTGTATATTCATCGCCAACTAATTTAGATAAGACACGATCAAGTTCATTTGGACTCTTCTTGCGATAATCAGCTAGTTCATCTCCACAGATAGCCAGTTCTTTATAAAACTGTCCTACATGCACAAGTACTCCCGGTTTAGTCCTACTCTCTACATTATGGGCATAGCAAATACCATGATTAGCAAATGTGATGGCAATTCTTGGTCGAGGATGGGGAAGTTCACTATCATGTTTAGGCTGAGTAGATGTAGATGTAGATGGTGTAGGTAGTGGTTGTGATGGTAGTGGTTGTGAGGGAGGAGTGGGTGGTAGAGTAGGAGGAGTAGCCGGGGGTAGAGTGATGGTAGATTCTGACTCGGAGTAGTCATAAGTATTTAAGAAGGTAGAATTAGGAAGGATAATATCAGAAGCAGAAGAACCAGCTACAGTTTGTAAAGGAATACGCTCAGTCATTTCTGGGGAGGGTAAAGAGATACCAAAGTTTGATCTAGAACGATAAGATCTTTCTTCTTCTGGTTCACTAGATTGCATTGAGTTAGGTAGATTAGATTCACTAAGTTGTTCACTAGTAGGTTCTTCTGAAGTAGGTGTAGATAAGTATGCTTTAAAGTCAATAGGCGGACAATCACTAAACATATCATCTGGTGCTTCTTCTAAGTCATTAGTAGTTACACCCGAGGCCGACTCTCCTAAATCTTCCATTGCTAAGCACGTATCAGCTGCCGGCTGAGTACTTTCATAACCACCTAGTAGTACTTCAGATTGAGTTAGGGTAGGTTGAGTTAGATTAGGTTGAGATGAGTTGGGTTGAGATGAGTTGGGTTTAGGTGAGTTAGGTTGTGATGGGTGTAACTCAGCTAGTTGTGATAGTACTTCAGATTGAGTTGGTTGAATTGATTGTGTTAGTTGTGTTAGTTGTGATTCACTCTCCTTATCACTTTCTTTATCACTTTCACTAGCCTTGCCTACTGCTAATTGCTTATCAATATCTTGATTGACCTTATCTTCATGGTGCATTTCATGATGCATTTCATGATTTTGACCTGAACTACTAAATGATGTATCTTTTGATGCACTATCTGACCATTCTGGATCTTCTTTTAGTGATTCATACCAGTCATCTTGCTCGCCTCCCGTATACTCTTCATATGCCGACCAGTCGTGATTAGCTGACTTTTCATCAGTATATACCTCATCTAAATAGTTACTAGAACTATCCTTATTAGACTCACTAGAACTACTAGTCTTCTCTAATAATGAAACTTGTTCTACTTCATTATTGGCTATCTCATTCTTAAGTACTGAATTGGCACTATCTAATGAGATATTATGATGATTACTACTAGGAGATAGTACCTTATCTTGATGAGATACCGGTTGATTATCACTACTAGCTATACTACTACTAGCTATACTATTGGGAGACAACCAATTATCATGTCCTGAATCTTGGGGTAGAAAATCATCAAGACTCCATCCGGCTTCTGATTCCTCTGGTGTTCTTCCTGGTGAAATTTGAGCTGGTGTGGTGGCTTTTTCTTGCGATAAAGATTGAATTTTTGATTGTGATTTTGAATTTGAATTAAGCTCAATATTCGGAGAAGAAAATGACGTAGGCCAATCCATTTCATCATAATTAAGATCGCCTTCTACCATACTCATATCAAAGACTTCCATTTCTTCTTCAGAATCTTTGGATTTAACTTTTGAACTATCTTCTTCATACGGAACTAAATTCTTTAGCATTGCTTCAAAGGCTTCCTGATCGGTATTACTCGGATTCATATGTGTTAGTAAATAAATAAAATATATAGGCAATCTGAGACTCATCTGGAACATAAACAAAGAGTGTTTTAGGTGGTTTGTTAATAGTTTGATCAATAGTTGTTGAGATGGTGTTTTAGGTGGTGTTTGAGTTAGTTTGGGGTTACAGTTAGCTGATCATGTTTAAATCAAAAATATTGATTTTATTGATGTTAAGGTTGGTTGGATTTAGTTTGGGGGTATGGTAGTTGGTGTGGTTGGGTTGAGGGTAGTGAGTGGGTCTATGCGAATGGTGCCTTCTAGGGAAGTGCTGATGAGAACTGGATGGTGGGCGAGTGTACCGATGGTGAGTTGGGTGGTGGGTGAGTTGAAGAGGCGGAATTGGTGGTGGGGAGTAAGAAGGTGGCCGGAATGTGTGCCTCGGATGAGTTGGCCTTGGTAATGGGTCAGGGCAGTAGTTAGTTCTGGGATGGGTTCTTGCTTGAGGAGAGTAAGACTGTTGGTTGTACTGTACTCACAGAGGGTGCCGTCTTTGGAAGTGGTGAAGAGTTTTTGACTATCTTCGGCAAAACAGATGGCGAGAATTTCCCGGCGATGAATGGCGAGTGTACCGATGAGTTGGACACCCCAATGCCCGGGTTGAAAGCGGTTGGTTGTGCCGGTGAGAAGGGTTGGGTCTTGGATGATTTTGAAAAGAGCGACACGGCGATCACGACCGGCTGTGGCTAGGAAGGACTGGCACTTAGAGACAATAATAAAAGTAATGCCAAGATCATGAACGGGTATCTTTTGGATGATTTCGGAATCTAAAGTGCTGATGATAAGAGTGGCGAACTCGCGTTGGGAAGCTTTACTGGCGGCGGCGATGAGTTTATGGCGGACAATAGCTGCAGTGGCGATTTCAAAGGGGTAGCCATAGGCCCGATGTGTTTCAGTGAACATGTGCCGGGTAAGGGATGGCTCTAGACCAATTAGATCGGTGGGCTGGAGAATAGGATTGACTTCTTTCTCTTCTGTAGGCGTAAGACTGAGTTCTTGGGCATAGGCTGTGAAAGGTTTAGTGGAGTTGGATGCTGTATTGGGTGCTGCATTGGTAATAGTATCGTAGAGTTGGGTGCTGGTGTACGTGCGTAGAAGATTCTCATCTGCTGCTACTAGAATACGGTTCGTATCTAGGAACCCGGCAAAGACAAGAGGGTGGCCGGTAGTGAGAGGCCGGAATATTTCGACTAGTCGATTGTCTCTTAAGGCCCAAACCCGAACGGTGGCATCGTCTGAGGAAGTTAGAAGTAGACCTTTATCCAAATCAACTGAACGGACGCGTAAACGATGACCGGTTGTAAAACCTTCTCCATCACCAAAGTACAAAGCTCCAGCACTTAATAATAAGGGCCGATCAATCCGATCAGAAGTATTGCCAGTAGAAGATACAACTCCGTATGCGCCCGATAAAGGTGCACCGCCATACGCTCCATAAATCCCAGTACTAGTCCAGGGACCATTAGCTGAACTCCAAATGGCACAAGTTCCATCATCAGAAGCTGTAAGAATCCGGGTTGGATCTTCATTATAATAACTAACTGAACGACAAGGTGTTTTATGTCCTCTAATTAATCCCGTTCTGACCAGTTGAGTTCCATCAAAGATACCCGTAGCTATATGTCCACTTAAAAGAGAAACACAGAAATGGTGGATACTATTAGCTTGGCTTAGTAAAGATAAACTAGTTACAGGTGAGGGTGGTGATCCTAAAAGAACCATTGCCTTATCCCCAACTACTTCTTTCTTATCCAGTCGTAAGTACCCAGCATATCCGCCATAAGTCCCAAAGACACACATGGGTATATTATCCTGGTAAAACAAACGAGCATCCACTACTGGATCGGGTGTCTCCCATTGTACTTGGCCTTCTGGGCCTACTAAGTACCCATGACTCTTAGTGAAGAGTACAACTAGATCATCTAAACTCCGCGTTGTCGTAATAGGTGTGCCCAATCGATTAAAGTCTGGCCAGATCTGTAACTCACCTTCACTGGCACTCAGAAGTAGTAAACATCCTAGTTGTGTTCCAGCCACCACTACCAATGATCCATCTTTTCTACTATGGATATCAAAAGATGAAATTGGACCGGCCCCAACTGCTCCTAAAATTAACGTTGAACTGGTTCCATCTAGTCCTATCTTTACTAAATCACTTCCTGCTATGTAATATACTGTTTTGTCTCTAATTATTACCGACCCGGCCCGCATACTAGAACAACTCATTGCTACAGTCGAATGGCAAAGATAATCAGAAGTAAATGAACAAAGAGAAGAGTTATCTGGAGTAAAGATCATGGGAGATACAAAAATTTGCAATGTCACACGCTGAATCTCGCAATAAGATTAGGGAACGCACTGCTCGTATCTTTTGGGCGGCTGCTTCAGGTCTAGTAGTTGGTGCTGGACTTGGTGCTGTCGAACGGCTTGTTACGGGCAAACCAGTGATCAGAACAAGAGCAGCCGATCTAATGCTCTTAGGAGGTGCTTATGCAGCTACTGATATTATTCTTAAGGACTACAAGATGTCCCCAACTTACAAGCCAGTAGTAGCCGGATGTGTAGCTGGCATAGTTTCATCTCGTTCTGGAGTTGGTCTAGTAGTCAACTCAGTCGCTGCTTCAGCACTAGGTATTGCTCTTAATAAGCCAAATATCTGGATTCGTGAATAAATAAGATTAGTTACCCTTTGTTTTGATTTTGATTTTGACTTAGTTAGTCTTTAGTTGTGTATATCTTGATCTTATTTATTGTTACTTGAATTATAATCTAATTCCAAACTAATTCTAATTCCAAGTTGAACTAAATCTAAATCTAATTCTAAACTAAATCTAATTCCAAACTAAATCTGAACTAAACTCTACTTAAGTTTAAAAAGAAAGCTTTCAATTGACTTTTTAGACTATTATCATCTACAATTAGATTACGACATAATAAACCGCATAACAACCCAACTCAATACTAACTCAATCCTAACTCAACTCAATACACCACACTATTGACATAGATCCACAACAAATAAACAACATAGACGGCTTACCAATTAAATTAACCTTGCAAACGTACTTTGAATAGCATACATTACATTACCACAATATCATATACCACACCAAACCAGACTAGCACATAACACAACCTAAACCTCTTTTATTACTACTAACTCAGACTAACTCAATCCTAACTCAATCCTTAACTAATACATCCTCTATTAAAGACATTCCTTGAACTAAGTGTGGGTACCATTTATTGAGTAAATAAGTTTGAGTGAGTATGACGTCATATTGGGTTGGTATTGGGTTGGTATTAGTTTAGTGCCAAGTAGTGTATACTAAGTAGTGGGTAGTAAATAGTGATCAGATTGATCGTATTAGTATTGTATTGATATTGTGATAGTATTGTGGTAGTATTATGGTAGTGGCCATATGACATCAGGTCAACTCAACACCAAGTCAACTCAACTTAGATACTAACCCAACACCAACCCAACTCAATACCAACTCAATACTAATATCAACTCAATAGAACAACAAATAAACCAGTTAGCAATCTCTTGACTTTAAATTTGTTCTCAAATTTTAGCCCGGGACAAGAATTGATGATTGAGTTATCATATCAACTCTTTCTTGTCCCACCAAAAACCATATAATGAAGATTATTCATTCATTGTACTTTTTGGTCTTTATTAGTATTATTGTGTTTTGTGTTTATTTTGATAAGACTTGTTCTGATATGTTTAAGCATTAGTCTGTTCTTTACTAAAGAAGATTGTTGTTTAGATTAGTTTGGAGAGTTGGGAGTCCAAAACTAATCTTTCTTTATTCAATTGAAACAGTCCTTTGACTAGTTATTTAGAACAGACTAATAGATATGCTTGTTTCTCTAAACTAGTAAGTCTTTCTGGTGTAATGGAGTTCTACTCAGAATAACTTACTAGTTTAAAGCAAATACAGTCTTCTGGATCTTTACAATGGCGAGTTAAGTCCAGAAGTAGAGCATAGCTTAAGTTAAGACCAAGTTAAGGAGAGTTAAGAGACCAACGTAGCCGGTAGTAAGCAGATAAGAGATAGTTGGGGAACTATAGAACTACTGCTACTTTTATTTAGATCAGAAGGATATACTACTATAGTCTATCCTAAACAATTTGATCAAAACGGTTTCTCTTATTCTATCTTAAACTCAGAACAAGTCCACCTAACAATAAATGAACTCAATTCCGAAGTTTAGTTTAGTTTGACCAGTAAAGTACCAATTAACTGTGGCACGCCGAGCATGAAGCTCGCCCAGTTTGAAATACAAAAGCCCTCAGCAGGTGAGACTTGGAACTTGTCTTTATTGAGCCAAAGTACCAAATGAGTCTCCTTTCTATGTCTAGGACCAGGAATACAACCTTTCATCCCTAAGGGTAGATTTAGAAGCGGATGGTGCTATATTTTATTCGACTATACTTACTCGAGAGTTTTAGATAAGCTTTTATAACTTAGATAGTGTTGGGTTGGGTTGGATATGGTTCATTAGCCAATGCCTACTCTATTAAAGACATTTCTTGAGACGAGTATCGATGTGATTTGTTAAATAAATATGGTTGTGTGTGAGGATGACGTCATATTGAATTGTAGGGTAGATATGTAAAACTAAATTAGTCGAATCAGATTGACTCTATTAAAGCTGCAAGGCGTAATTAGCTGGCAAAACATTAGGTTGATCTTTGGGTTGGGTTAGTAGTGGTCGTATTGGTTTGGTATTGGGTTGGTATTGAATAGACATACTTAGAAAGTAAGTCTTGTTGATATTCTATTAATTTAGAGTATTTGTTTGGCTAAGACTAGAATATTTTTAATATTGATATATTATAGTCTATAAATAAAAACATGAGATAGCAACTTGTAAAATGAACAAAAGGATGAATAGATACTCTTTGAATGTTTACCAAGTAGTTTGCTTGGTTATTGGATTGTGTTGTGTCTGGTGTAGTGCTGGTGAGAATTCAAATGAGATGGAGTTGTTTGGTCCATCTAAAGACGCTGCGTTAGCTAGAAATAGTCAACTACCATTGG